ATCTGTTTCCCTTAACTGAGTAGAAAATCTCACTTTCTTTTTCTACTAAGTGAGCCACATTCACAGCCAGGTTTGAATTTTGTTAGGTGATAAAATTTATATATATAAATGAGTTTTGCAAATAAGATTATATATACAGTGTGGGGGGGGGAATAAATATTCGTACACTTGAAAAATTGTACTTATATAAATGTAAAAGCTTTAACTAAAACAAATTTTGATACATTTTATGTGTAAAGATACATTTTATTAAATAATAGTAATAAACTTAATTAATTCTCATTCGAACAGAAATTAATGCATTTTTTCATTTTAACTGATGAAAAAAAGTATTCGTTCAGATAAAAAAAAAAAAAGCATATTAACTTAATTTAATACTTTGTGGAATATCCTTTATTGAGTTCAACAGCTACCAGTCTATTCCTGTACGTCTCAACTAATGATTTGCATACATTGAGTGGTATTTTGTCCCATTCTTCTTGGCATATTGTCTTCAAATTCTTGATATTTGTTGGTGCTCTTTTCCCAATTTCAGTTTTCAAATATCACCATAAATTCTCGATTGGGTTCAAGTCTGGGTATTGACTTGGCCATTGCAAGACATCAACGTTACTTTCAGCTAACCATTTCATTGTAGATCTAGCGGTATGCTTAGAATCATTATCCAATTGGAAAACCCAATCAGGAGGTAGCTGAAGTCTCTCAACAGAATGCATTAAATTGTCTTGCAGGATATTCTGGTAGCTTTCGGCATTCATCTTGCCATCTATTATTGATATTCTGCCAATGCCTTTTGCAGAAAAACAGCCCCAGATCATGATACTGCCACCACCAAACTTTACAGTTGGCAACATGTTCTTTGGTAAGTAGGCTTCACCGTCCTTCCTTCACACAGGATTTCGATAATTATGACCAAACAACTATTTTAGTTTCATCTGTCCATAGTACTTTTTCCCAAAACAAATATTCTTTATCCTTATGCTCTCTAACGAATTTTAGCCTAGCATCTGTGTCGTTTCAAGAGGAGTGGAGTCTTCCTTGGGATGCGTGCTTTCAGACTGTTTTTGTGTAGTTCATTACTTATTGTATGCTTGGTTACTTTAATCCCTAATGCACGCATATGTTCCTGCAGCTCTTCTTGGGTAACCTGTGGATTTTGTTGGATCTGGCGTCCTAATATCCTTGCTGATCTTAGAGAAATCTTCCTTGGAGCACCTGTTCGTCTTTGGTTTTCAACACTGTTAGGAGAAGTAATTGTAGTAAAAGGAATATTCAGGTTGTTAGAAATCATTCTGTAACTGTTCCCATTTTCCAAAGAGACAAAATGCGTTGTTTTTGTGAAATAGTCAATTCTTTACCTTTAGACATTATTAGAACCTTCTTGTTAGACTAGAAATTGCAGAATGCTCTGATAATGGCTAATAGCGTTAACTATAATTACTGATAAAATTACTGGAACATTCTAGAATATACTTTTTTTCATAATTAATTGATTATTTTATTCTAATAATTGATTTGTACGAATACTTTTTTTACCAGTTAGAATAAAAAAAATGCATTAATTTCTGTTAGAATAAGAATTAAGTCAGTTTATTATTATTTTCAATAGTATGTGTCTTTATGCATAAAATGTGCCGAGATTTGTTTTATTTAAAGCTTTTACATTTATAAAAATACAATTTTTCAAGTGTATGAATATTTATTTCCCCCCACTGTATATATATAATCTTATTTGCAAAACTCATTTTAGAGCAACAAATTCAATCCATAAAAACAGATCAATAGCAATCACCTTGCTAATCATCATTAAATATAACATATGATCTATCAGTAGGATATATGATATAATATATAAAATATATTTTATTTTTTTGTATGACAAAGTGGAAAAAGTTTCCTTGTGACACGTTTCGTCTTTCAGGACTTCATTGCACAAAATTTGTTATAGTGCATTTAGTCTGATCAAGTCCTGAATGACGAAATGCATCACAAGGAAAAAAAACCACTTTGTCATACAATTTTGTTATATAATCTCATACTTATAGTTCAGTTATTTATTTATATATATATATATATATATATATATATATATATATATATATATATATATATGTGTGTGTGTGTGTGTGTGTGTGTGTATATAAATATATATAAAAACAAAAATGAACTTTCTTGGAAGATTTAAGACTGTACGTACCACCCTGTAAAACTGTATAAAATAACTTGAAGCACTTCAGATAATGAAAACAAGAAAGTGAGAGAGAATTTGGGATGCAAAAAGATGGATTCAAAAAAAAGAAGTCTTTAGAGAAAAGGATAACATGAGAGAAGCATGTAAATATTTCAAGATCTTCTAACCTAGCACTTTGGGTTAAGTGAAGAGTTTTTTGTTTTTTTTAAAAAGACATGAGAATCAATACAGCTTTGAAACACTTTTCTTCTTGTGGAAGAAACAAAAATAAAATATAAAAAAGAATTCAGAAATAAATTTCCATTTTTCATATCAGTTGAATTAAGAATTTTCAGATCGAAACGAACAAAGAAAAACACTTTGAATTTAATTTTGTAGACTGTGATTTACTTAGGTAATTAAATGATATTATATTAAAATTATACTTATCTAAGATGATAATTATTTTTATTATTATGTTTTTATGGTTGGTACAGATAATGTTCATGGCCTGGTTCAGAGAAGAGCCATTACAACTTGAATATTTCGTAGTGCACTTTACAATTTCTATACTTGTCATTGTATTATAGTCTATAAGAAATGCAGTCAAGTCTGCCTGATAAAAGTTACCTGCAAGTGGCTGAAAAGCTTTCCCATTTGTTTGCCATGAATTGATAGGTACTGACAAATAAAGCAAAGAGAAAGAATTCAGAGAGAGAGCAAAAGGCAAATGATGAGAGAGACGAGAGAGTGTGAGGGAGGGAATGAGCGAGTGAGGAAGAGAGGCTGAGTGAGGGAATGAGAGAGAGTGAGAGAGGAGGGACAGAGAGAGAGAGAAGAGAGAGAGGAAGGGGAGAGAGAGGAGGGGGAGAGAGAGAGGAGAGAGATCAGGAGAGGAGGATAGAGAGAGATCAAGAGAGGAGGGAGAGAGAGAGAGCAAGAGAGAGGAGGGATAGAGAGAGCAGGAGAGGAGGGATAGAGAGAGAAAGCAAGAGAGGAGGGATAGAGAGAGGGAGGGATAAAGAAAGAAACAGAGTGAGAGAGAAAGAAACAGAGAGTGAGAGAGAAAAAGATGGAGTGAGGACAAAAGAGATGAGATGGAGAGATGGAGAGGAAAAAGAGATGGAGGAGGACAAAAGAGATGGAGGAGGACAAAAGAGATGGAGGAGGACAAAAGAGATGGAGGAGGACAAAAAAGAGATGGAGTGAGTGACAAAAGAGATGGAGTGAGTGACAAAAGAGATGGAGTGAGTGACAAAAGAGATGGAGTGAGTGACAAAAGAGATGGAGTGAGTGACAAAAGAGATGGTGCGCAAATGAGGAAGTTCAAAATGAAACAGTGAGAAAAGGTAAAAAAAATGAGATGGAGATGGAGAGTGAAAGACTAAGGAGGCAGAGAGAGAGAGAGAAAAGGTTTAGGCAGCAAGACAGTTTCCAAGGATTTAAACACAGAAAGGGTGGGTAAGGAGATAGATTGAGGGAGGTCAAAGTGTGAGATCAGAGGGAGTGGCAAGGATCATGAGACCAAGGTGACTGACAAGGAGAGACCAGGGTGACTGACAAGGAGAGACCAGGGTAGCTGACATGAGGGTGACAAAAACAGACCAAGGAGGCTGGAGAAAGTAACAAGGTGAGAGTGAGACATCAAGGTGGGTGAAAGGGTGATACTGAGGGAGATGAAACAAATATTAGAACAGAAAATCTACAAGAAGGAAATTAGAATAATAAAAGAGGAACACCATTTTGAAGTATGTATCAAGAAATAAGAAACAGACTGAAAAGATGGAGGAAACAAGAGCAAATGATGGTTAATAAGAAAAAGAATAAAAATGAAAAGTCTTGAGCTCCATTACAGATGTCTGCATTGATGAATGCACTTAATGAGAAAGACTGGCTGATCTGCCATTTTGAGCTAATGCAGGGAACATTCTAGAAAGGTCCTTGGATCAGACTGTCCAATAGAAGGAAAAAGTTGGTGAAGGAATCGGAGGCAAAAGTGGTGCTCTCTTTTCGCCACTTTGAGTGCATTTTCTCAGATCTCGGAAGGAAGGACATTTGCAGATACATCAATAGTCAATTGTGCTATCTCCTTGAATTATAGAATGAAATTCTTGATATGTTCACTGAGAGGAGCTGGAGCCAGTCTGCAGACGGACTTGAATGGCTAGCCAATGCCAAAGAGATTATACAACTATTCTGATTATACAATCACTGAATAGATAATGAAAAAAAGTCATGAAATTATATAAATCAAGTAAAAGTAGCCAGTTTAATACTTATACTTAGTATATAATAATAATATATCAGTCAATGTCATATGTAATTCTTGGAATATTTCTGAAGAATCATGAATACAATAATTTTAACTCTTGTAACTAAATAACTAACTAAAAGAGATTTTTTGTCTTCATAATTATATAACTAAAGATCAAGTTTAAGTTGGAAGTGTGGATTTTGATTTAAAACAGTTATATTTTAACAGTTTAAAATCAAAACCTTATTTAAATTTTGTGCTCTTTTAACATCAGTCTTTGAAAATGAAATTTGTTGTTTTTATAAATTAAGTCCACAAAGGTAATAACTTACATAAGATTTTGTTAACAATATTTTCTATTGTCCTTTGACATCTTCAAAATATTGGATTTCTCCAAAATGCAAAATTTCATGTCTATCTTTTCAATTATATTTTTCTTCCTTTTTCATGGAAAACAAAATTGAGTTTTTATTCTTCTTGCATTTATAATTCTTGTAATGAGTTTAGTGAACAATTCTATATAGAAGGATTTTACAAAGTCCAAAGAATAATCAAGTAGAGTATGTCTTGTATATACAGGATTTTATCTATGCAAAATAAATTCAAGTGTTCTGATGAGCTATATTCTCACCACCTCTGACCTTTACAATTGGGACCTGCCCTGCTACATACACAAGGGTTAATCATCCCCATTCACTTCATATTCCTATAGCAAGAACTAGGTCCCATATCCTTCCCCAAAAATGCTGCTTTGTGGTACAGACTCCCGGCAGGATGCTTTCCTGATCACTACAATCTTCACCTCTTCCGTTATTTTTCCTGTATAGCATCATGAACTTCACTTCTTTCCCTTTCTTATTCTCATACACCACCACACACTAACCATCTAACTCAGTGATTCTTAACCATTGTACTGTGGCACACTGGTGTACCAAACAATCCTATTAAGTGTGCTGTGAAATACTGTCTTGGCATACATGTGTCTGTGTGTGTGTGTGTGTGTGTGTGTGTGTGGAAGTAGCAATGGTACAGTGTTAGTATTTGAATAAATGAATTAGTATTAAACATTTTTTTCAAATAATTCTTTTCACAATTCTTCAATTATGTTATTTTAAATACTTTGTTTTTATATTTATTTTTTAAAAAGTATTTTTATTTTTTTAATTTAACTTTAAAAAAATATCCTTTTTTTGAATAAAGGTCTATTAACCTTTTTTTCATATAATTGTATTCAGCATTCTTTGTTTAATTCTAAACTTATGGTTTTATTTCATAACATTTAAATGTATATACCCTTTAAAAGTTTTGCTAAGTGTGCCATGATATTTTTATTTGAACCTAGGTGTGCCATTGCTTAAAAGCATTGAGAAACACTGCGCTAACTTGAGGGATACCTCAGCCTTGTATTAGGTAAACATTAGTATATAAAAAAAATAAAAAATTAAGTGAAATTGTACTCCTGATCAAACATCTGACATAATAACATCTACCATTTAGATAAATTTACAATAAGCTCAAACATACAATTAATTTATGATTTGCTCAACATCAGTTCTCTTTTTTGGTTCATTTTCTTTCTTTACTCAGTGGACCAAGATCCATAGTTAGCCTTGACCTATTTATTTTTATGCAAGTGATTTAAAAGTCTGGACATTCCATTGTTTCTTCATCTTATGATAATCTAAAACAGCTTCATTTCCTACCACCTCCTCCTCTTTCATTTATAGCACACCTCTCATTCATCATAAGCAATTTAACAGTAATAATCTATCTCAAGTGGCTTACATTGAGTGAACTTTAATGAATTTTCTTTTTAAATTTTTTAAAATTATTTTTTCACAATCCATTGATGTCTTCTTAGTAATATCCCCTTCAAGTCACAACTAGGTAACTGGCCATACTTTACATCTGCCACTGCTGACAGATCATAAAAGAAGCAAGGTATTTTATAACTGATTTTTTTATTGTACATATGACAGGTCTTAACTATGCATAATAAAGTCATTTCATAAATGTTAAAGAGTGTTTAAATTTAAGAGGTTGCTGCAGTTTTCTTTTGTCCTTTTTGTTTCTATTTTGATTTAGTCTTTATACTAACTACATCAGATTTTAATTTATATGACAAATTAGAAATAAAATCTGTTGTATCCTTAAAGAGATTGCAAACAGACAGAGGTGGCACTCGAGTGAAGGAACAGCAACACGCACGTAGATGAACGAAGAGAGGTTTATTGTAAAAGAGAATACACTACTGAAAAGACAGGGAATTGGATGGTGGGCTATTAATTCCCAAAGCAAGTCCCAGGTATATACTGTGCTTACTATATATATCTACTGATATAGTCAGTCCACATAGGCGATAGGGAGTGTGGGATATCTCATTACAACAAAATCTAAAGAAAGTAATGCAATCAACTCATTTAATGTTCACTTCTTTACTCCACCCTATATTTGGTTATTTTTTTTAGTATACAACCTCTATATACAATAAATATCATTTACACCCTGTGTAATCATGAAGAATTTTATTGGGGGGGGGGATTGCTATTATTTCCATTCAATGACAAGTACAAGGCCCCAAAAGCATTAATTTATTGATTTTTTTTTTATGGCTTATCAACCTTTTGCGGGTTATTTAAAGTGAGAAAATATTTTTAGATTTTCAAAATGTTTTTTTTTGAAATGATAATGATTTTTACTGATACAAGTTCTACTAATTGACCGATAACTAAAGAAAGAAGTGGTGAATCCATACCTTTCCCAAAGGTGCATAGGTGAAGATAATGGACTAGACTGGAACTGGAACTCTGCTCTCCAGTTTGTAATTTAGAGGCTGTCATCTATCAACTGCATATTCAAGCTTACAGCATCTGGTATTCCTATGCAGTCACTCATTTCAATCAGGCTCAACATTGGTAGACTGATTCTATTACCAAAGTAATGTGATATGGCCATTAGTGCACACACAAGTAATTTTTCTATGTTATGATAATAGTTTTAAGTACATGCCAACCCTTTTGTGCTACACAAATGTATTTCCCAAAAGCTGATGAAAAAAATACAATTTTTTTAAAGGGATTCTTAGTCTAAAACCTCCCAGTACTCCACTGTATATAAAAACAATATTTAAAAAAAATGACGAAAATAATGTTAAACAACACTAGCTTAATAGCCACCTTGCATGACCACTAATTTTGTTCTGAAGCCACTTTCGAAAATAAATGCACCAAAACATTACCCTGCATCCAATACAACAGTATCATGTATGAGGACAGGAAGACCACGAAAAAAGTGGGGTTCACCAGGAATCAGTGTTTATATAGAGCTTATCTCTGAAACTAGTACTCCTGGAAGTGAACAAACATGATATCAAGAAAAATATCCCTGAAAAATTAACCCAGGAAATTAAGAAATTTATTGCTGCTTGTTTTGAAGAAACACCAGATTTTATGAAAACATTTGCTTTGACTGCTATATTGCTGCTTGCTTTGTGTGTGTTTTTGTTAATATTACTAAAATTCTACTTTTCCAAAAAATGTCCTGGTAATTAAACTTTAACCCACTTCTAATTGAGGAATTGGAGAGTCAAGTTTGAATTCCAGTCAAATCAATTAGAATCAATTATATGCTAATACCCTTGGGAAAGTTATGAATAGTCTTCTTCTCCCCCCACCCCAGCAGAACAGACTGGGTTCCATAGACTCGGATGGCAACTGGCCTGCCACAGAAAGAAATGGCAAACTACTGCAGAAAAAAATCTGCCTCATCAGTCATGTACCTGTTGTAGAGTAGTTTTCACAGTGGAGGCTTGTATTTCGCTAAGTCAGTCCTAAAAGGGTCCGACGTACAAAACGTTAGGAACTTGAAATAAGAGTTAATGATGCAGCAATCTAGTTGTGATGGTTGATACTTCAATGTCTGACATCAACTGACTCACTCAACTCCACTGAGCTCAACTGGCCACTGCTACTACTACTTATCTGTGGGAGAGTCTATTACAATAGAATAGGCAATGTTCTGGTATAACCGTATCAAAAGATACATGATGGCCTAATCGTGTGTCACGCATGACATAACTGACTGACCAGTAACATAATTTGTACTAATAGTGTAAGTTTCTTTGTGGTTACTGAGAATGTCACATAAAGGTAAGGTTATAATTTTGATTTTTTTGGTTTTGATGTATTTTCCTAAATATTTCATGCCAAAATCTGGGTGCATCTAATGCGTGTATGTGTCCAATAGTATTTACTCAAGCTCACTAAATATGTTACATATTGTTTTTCTCTGTCCTCTTGCCTTCAATCTATCCAGTGAGTATCAGATTTTCCAAGCCCTCTTTCCTTATGTGCCCTAAAAATTTCAACTCTCTTCCTGATGTTAAATATAAGTTTCCTTTTTGTTTCCATTTTCTCTCAAACTTTGTACGTCATTCTCATCATCCTTCTGTAGAACAACATTTGTTACTTGATCTCTTCTTCATCTGTGAGGAGATCATCCAGTATCCACTGTCATATAGGAGGACTGATATTACATAACAGTTCAACTCTCTTTAATTTGTTTCTAACAAAATTTTTCTGTTTCTTAATACTTTGCTTAGCTTTTGGAAGGCAGCTTTCATTATCCAAATGCCCCTTTGTATTTCAGTGTCACATTTTCTATCCTCTGTTAAAAACACTTACAATTGATAAGTATGGTAATCTCTTTGATAGAAAAGAAAAAGAAATGAAAAGACATTTTTTGACTAAAATAATGATTTCCAGGAAATAATGATTCTTTTAAAAAAAAGTGAATGTTTAAATAGGAAGTAAAAAAATATTGCAAAAATTTAATTTTTCTTTTCAACAAAATTTATTTCTTTGATTTCATGATACTTCTTATATTCTGTCTGAAGAGAATTTATTGACACAAAATTTTGTGCTAATTATTTATATTAATTATCATTCAAATTTTGAATTATTTTGACTTTCAGTTACTGCAATAATTTTGCTCAGGAAAGACAAAGAAGGAGAGAGAGGAGGAGAGAGAGAAAGAAGAGGAGAGAGAGAGAAAGAAGAGGAGAGAGAGAGAGAAAAGAAGAGGAGAGAGAGAGAAAGAAGAGGAGAGAGAGAGAAAGAAGAGGAGAGAGAGAGAAAGAAGAGGAGAGAGAGAAGGAAAGAAAGAAAGAGAACAAGGGAAAGAACAAGAGAAAGAGTGAATGAGAGAGAGAGAGAACAAACAAGAGAGAGAGAAGAAGAGAGAGAGAGTGAGAAGAAGAGAGAGAGAGAGAGAGTGAGAAGAAGAGAGAGAGAGTGAGAAGAAGAGAGAGAGTGAGAAGAAGAGAGAGAGTGAGAAGAATAAGAAGAATGAGAAAAAGAGAGAGATTTTTTTTTCAGCTACTCTAATAATTTAGTGCAGGTAAGCATAGAAATGCATCATAAGTTAAACTCATAATTAATGTTAATTTAGTCCTAAATAAACATTACATGTGACATTATAATTTTGTTAATGTTTCCTCTTTGTGCTACATGGGAGAAAGAGAGAGAATGGCAAAACAGAGAAAAAGGGTGAGAGAAAGTGAGAGAGAAACCATGCATCAAACTTTTCCTTTTCTCTCACAAAGCCAGAAATGTTGGTGCTTTTTTTTTTCTCCACTACTATGAACACTAAATGTAGATTTTATTATGGACCTAAAGCACTCACATCAACTGCTCAAACAGAAAATAGGTGATTTGACCTGGTAGTCTACATCCAAGATATTGCATTGTCAAATCAATGCCCAGCAATTTTGTTAGCAAACATTGTAATCAAACTGAATTATGCATCACTTACCAAATGACATGTTTAATGAGCAACCTTTATACAAACTTCCAGTGGTGAACTCTTGTAAGAAATTTCCACATTCTGTTCATACAAAGGATTTTCAGAATTACACAGAACAAATAGTTCTCAGAGGGAGGTTCACATCTCCCACTAGTTCCCTGGGGTGTAATATGAGGAGCCAATCAAATAATGGGGAATCATTTTAAATTGGTGAATGTCATCTGCTGCTGTCATCTCTGTTTATATCGTTATCTCTACCTGTTGACCCTCCAGAGAAGGAAGTCAACACCAAGGGACTACTTTCATTGAAACCTTTCCTCTCTTCATTATTAGTTTAGGAATAAAATGAGATCAATTTTCTTTGTAATTTCAACCAATCATTGAGCTTTATTCAAATTGAGACTAACAAAAATTGACAAGAATCTTGGAAGATGTTGAACATCACACCAAAGTCTCTTGGCAATATTCCTTACATTGGGCATATTTTTATTTACATGAATCTTGAAACATAAATGAACATTATTCCTTCCATATATACATACATAAGAATTGACATTTTGAAAGCTTGTAATTCTATAGTTAATTTATTACGGTTATACAACATTCAAAAAGTATTTTTTAAGAAAATCTATCTTTGAAACAATTTTTTTTTTTTTTTTTTTTTAAATATCAAAACATTTTACTGTCTTTCTGAACAAAATGTCCAGTTACAATAAATTCTGTCTTTACTAAATTTAGCTTAAAGTGACAGAAAGCCACAATATTAAAGCATCCAGTTATAACTGAATACACCATGAGCCAGTGGATAAAAGAACTGGTTGAAGTAATCCAGTGGCTTGACCAAAAGAGTTGTGATTTAAATACACAGCAGAGAGAAACAAAAACTTGGCAAATTGAGTTAACAGAAACTGAGATAGTCAGAAAAGGCATGGCACATTTAGTAGACTGAATAAAGTGTTCAGTTCAAAATTTCAACATATATCACCTGAAGAAGGCTGGAGTGTACAACATCCAAAATGTTGTGAATATGACAATAAAGAGAGTGTAAATAAGTACAATAACTTAGATAGTGTAAATAGTTACAACACCTCATCTCAGAAATATAAACAGCAAATTTATTAAAAATTAGCTTGTGAACAGTCGATTCTAATTTTGAACTCACATATGTATTATCATATACTTTGATATTAAGACCAACATACTCATCTCAATTGCTACACTCACAATGTTTCAGTTGTTGAACCCTTGTTTTCTTTAGGTGTCAGTTTTTATAGTTGTTAATCTTGTTGGAATTTCAAATCAAACTCTTTATTCAATATACATGATTGATTGATTGATTCATTTTCTATGTTTTATCAATCTTTTGCAGGTTATTTAAAACCAGAAAAATTTTAAATTATAAGAATTATTTTTGAGATAATAATGGTTTAGGGATACAACTCTTACTAATTAACCCATAGGTGAAGGGAGAAGAGGTGGATTCATACCTTTTGTGCTGCACATGTGAATATAATAAACCTAAATGAAATTGGAACTTTATTCTCCAATTAACAATTTTCAGCCATTACCCATAACACCATTCACACATCTAAACTTAAAGTACCTGGTATTCCCAAGCACCCATTTCGGTACTGACCAGTTGCTTCACTTCGGTGATCATACAGGAACCAATGTTTCAATTTCATATGGCCATAAACTTATTCAATATACAAAATTAGATTGTTCTCATTCCAATAGACAGGGCCTAGTAGATTAAAGAATTAGCTAAGAAATATTTGGCTCTTTGGAAGTTGTGAGTTCAATTCCTAAGTCAGGTAGTGCTGAAAAGTTACCTATGCTAGGTCTGTGGAAAAAACTGATGAGTGACACAAAAGTGAGTATGGATACAAAATATCACCCTGTATCATGAAAAGTTGAATTAGAACAATCTACTCTTGTGGATTGAATAATGCATTTGGTTTGAGATGCCAACAAGATTACTGAGTCTAAAAACAGACACCTGAAGACAGCTAGAAAGTACAACAACTGAAATGTGAATATAACAACAAAGATGAATATAATGGTCCAAAAAGCAAAACATACAATAATGATAATTCTACATTTCAAAAATTCCAACAAAAATTTTGTATATATGAATTAATTCATACTTCAAATTGAATTTCAGTTAATGAACCTGCATAAAAATTTCATTTGAAACAATGATTTTTTTGTTCATTTTAGAGGAAGAAACCATGTTTATACAATATTTTTTTTTAACTTGTATATATTTTCTGTTTATACATTATTTTTATAGATAGAATTCATTAAGTAAATGCTCTATAATAAACAGTATTAATTACATTTACTGGCTTGAATGTACAAGAAATTTCATAGAAAATATGTGCCCCCCCCAACAACAGGAATCAAACCTGTATCCTACATGGAACTGTCATTAAATCTGATGTGCTATACTACTCAGCTACAGAGGAAGCATCAAGTTAGCAAAGTCCTAATTACTGTTTTTAAACAACAAATTTCCCACAATCTTTCTCGAATAATCATATCTGCTTGAAGCATATCTTAACATAAACAAATGACAACATATATTATGAAATTACCAAAGTCCAACAATTAGGGACACACAAAGAAAGCAGAGTGAAGTTTGAGTAACAATCTATCATTTCAAAGATCAAGCTAGTTACATTTCATCATCGCTAATCTGACACCAAACTGCCACCAATCTTGATGAACAGAGGTCCTCTCGGACACACACCATGTCTCAAAGACTAAACTCACACCTGAGTGGAACTCATACATATAATCCATTGTTAAGGATGTAGGTAAAATGGTTGGCTCCTTGTATCACTCCAGTAAGTACTTGACCCTCCTGTTTTACAAGAGCCAGATCAGGGCCAAAAATGGAGTACTGTTGTCATATTTGGGCAGGAGCTGCCCAAATCATGTTCTCCAGGCTTGATAGAGTTCAAAAGCATTTTCAAGCCCTTGTGGGTGATGAACTATTCTCCACCCTTCAACCTCTCTCCCAGAGGCAAGATGTATCAAGCCTCTCACTATTCTATTGCTATTTCGACAAAGTGCACAGACAAGCTACATTCCCTGGTCCCATTGAAGCAAACCTTCATGGCAAGGACCCACCATGCCACTTACATAGTAACAAACCACCCACATTCCTTCCGTATCCCATTGGTGAGAAGTAAGTTCCACTCAAACAGCTTCTTTCCATGAACCACTAAACCATGATCGCCAATACCCTGAAGGAACATGGCATATAAAAGACAATTACAGAATCATAAGTGGTTTTTGCTAACTGAATAGTTTCTAAAATTTCTCATCATTGTTTACAGTCTGTTGATTATTATTTTGTTATTCAGAAGATGCTGTGTTATATTGTTGTCATGTGACAACAGAGAGTTTTAACAACTCCAAAAATAACATCATACTCAAATGACAACATAAATGTTTCCCAATGCTCTAAATTACACCAAAGATGTATATGACAGTATAGAGTTGGAATTTTATCTAATTTCTTTCTTTCATTCTTGATAATGACTGAAGCCAGACAAAAGTTTGAAACCTTAACAAGAATTAACATGAACAGTGGACAGTTTATTTCCACCTTCTGTAGCAAGATACGAAAACTAAACAAAAAAAAAAAAAACTTAATATATTATGGACATAATTTGTCTGTTGTCTTGAACAAAATTTGTTTGAATTATAACAATTAGCAACAAAAGATCTAAAAATGCACAAGAAAACTGCACAGTTCATGAATAAATATAATTTTAAAAGATGATTAATTCAGGATTCAGACTTTACTCAAATTTTATCCACAATTTAAGCAAAATCCTAGTTTTAAAACTAAAATGAATAAATAATACAGGGTGCAATGTGTAAATTGTCACCATTTTATATTTTAATTTCATGTATGCAGTTTCTTTGTTTTTGATTTCGTTACCAGCACAGTAGAATAGGGTCAGTTGCAATCCACTCTACGAGAAATTTAGAAATGGCATACTGTACAGCTTGGCTATTGTGCTGGAAGTTCCAATATGAACATTTTGGAGTGTTTGGGTGTCACTCTGAAGACAGTCTTGAGGATTTGGAAAGAGTTGGATGTATCTAATGGTTAGTACAAAGGTGTTTGGAATGATCACTAGTGATGACAATATGCCTCCATTCATCTTCCCACAGGGCCTTATACTCAACACAGAGGCCTACATCAAAGTCCCTTGAGAAGGTAGTGCTGTCTTGAGCCAAGAGGGTGGCTGTTAGAAGACTATGTCTGGCAACAGAAGTCTGCACCATGCCACAGAAGCAAGAGAACCCAGTTATGGCTGTCAGACAATTTCTGTGACCACATGACCATTTATTTACATCTTGCCACGTAACGCCCTAGACAGCAAACCCCTTGATTATTATGTGTGGGGAACAGTTGAGTGAGAGATCAACAAAACTCCTTGTAACCTCAAAGATAAACTCAAGGCAAAGATAATGGCAGTATTTATCAAAACTAAAACAAAGAGACCGTCCAGAAGAGATGAAGAAGATTCTGAAGTTGTCTGGAGGCCGTGGTTGAAGCCAATGGTGATTTTATTGAATAAATTTACTCTTTAGTATTTCAAGATATTTTTGTGCAATTTTGGAAAATATATCTGTTAAAATGAAATGCCAGTGTTATTTTCATTGTGTAATTTAGATGACAATTTATCCATCGCACCCTGTATATAGTATACCTTAAATAAAATTAAAAAAAATGTCATATAAACAGATTCAT